TATATATATATACATATATATGTATATATATACACATATATATATGTATATATATATACACGTGTGTGTGAGTGTGTGTATCATATATATGTTTCACTGGTCTTGCTGCTCTAGAGAACCCAGCCCATGGTATTTTCAAAAGCTTCATATGCACGTGAAAGTTGTACAATGAATAAGGAAGACCACAGAAGAATTGATGCATTTGAGTTATGGTACAGGAGAAGAATATTACAAGTATCATGGAATGCAGAAGAACAGACAAATGTGTCTTGGAAGAAGTGTATCCAGAATGCTCCTTAGAAGCCAAGATGGTGAGGCTTCGTCTCTCATACTTCAGATATGTTATCAGGAGGGACCAGTCCCTGGAGAAGGACATCATGCTTGGTAAAGTGGAGAGTCAGCAAAAAAGAGGAAGACCTCCAACAGGATGGATTGGAACACTGGCAGCAGCAATAGACTCAAGTGTTAACAACTGTGGGGATGGCACAAGACTGGGCAGTATTTCATTCTGTTGTGCATAAGGTCACTATCAGTTGGAACAGACTTGACAGCACCTAACAACAGTGATTGAGGATATTTATAACTGGTGTAATGGTTAAAAGTGCTCAACTCCTAATATCAAAAGGTTGACTGTTCAAACCCACCAGCTACTCCAAGCAAGGATGATACAATCTTGTTCTGCAAAAATTTTAGCCTTGGGAACCAACTCTATGGGGCGATTCTACTGTGTCCTATAGGGTCACTATGAGTCATAATCAACTTGATGGCAATGGGCTTAGGTATTCTTATTTTTAGAAAAGGAAATAGGTGTAGTGAAAGAAAACGTTCAACCAAAGTTTCAAAATGAATTGTTTGTCGACCTTGAGATGAGAGAGAGAAGAAGCAGCACTGGTTGGTACAAAGCTTGGGGAGATCTGAGAACTCCTGAGCCCATGGATGACCTAGTCATGGAGAGCTAGAGCTGAGAGTGAAGCGTCTAGCTGATATGAAGTGGGGAAAATGCACAAGAACACCCAAACTTGCAGACAGTACCCATTTGACCTAGCTTCGAAGGCTTGATGACCACAGCTCGACTATAGAGAAAGGAAAAGAAATTTGATAAAGGAAGCAAGTGTAACTTGCTACAATTTGATGAACTTGACCAATATTTATGGATATGTTGTTGTTATTAAGTGCCATCAAGTCAGTACTGACTCATAGTGATCTTATGCACAGCAGAATGAAAGACTACCAGATCCTGGGCCAACCTTACTACTTTTGCCACGCTTGAGTCTATCAATGCTACCACTTGGCCAATCCATTTCGTTGGGGGGTCTTCCTCTTTTTCTCTGACCCGCTCCACCTTACCAAACATGATATCCTTCTCCAGCGACTGGTCCCTCCTGACAGTATGTCCGAAGGATGAGAGACAAAGTCTGGCCATCTTTGCCTCCAAGGAGCACTCTGGCTGCACTTCCAAAATGGATCTACTAGTTCTTTTGGCAGCCCATGGCACTTTCAATATTCTCCTCCAACACCATTAACTCAAAAGCATCAATTCTTCTATGGTCTTCTTTATTCACTGTCCAGTTTTCGCATGCATATGAGGTTATCTTGAAAACAAATAAGCCAAGCACTTTGTGCCTTTATAGTCCCCTCCACTTTTGGTAGCCAATTTCTAATTTACCCATCCCTATTGAAACTAGTAGCTACTAGTAGCTCAAAATACCAACAAAGAGGGAAGGAGTCTTCACATCATGGATCAAGCTTGTCCCTTTGAATACCATTACTCAACTCTGCCAATGTTATATAACCATGGTGGTGGTTATGTGCCGTGGAGTTGGTTCCAACTCATCGTGACCCATTATACAGTTTCCGAGGCTGTAAATCTTTACTGAAGCAGAAAGCCTCATCTTTCTCCTACAGAACAGCTGGTAGTTTCGAATTGCTGACCTTTAAGGTTAGGAGTCCAACTCGTAACCACTACGCTACCAGAGCTCCTTGTTATACAGCCATAGGCAAAAGTAAACAAGTAAGCACAGTTATGTTCCAATAAAATTTATCTACAAAATCAGTCTGTGGCCAGATTTGGTCCACAGACTGTAGTTTGCCAACTTTGTATTAGATATTCAATTGCTTCTCTGACAATTTATTGCTTCTCAGACAATAAATTGAACAAGCAAAAAATAATGATTTTTAAGCAGATTTACTAATACATCATTGCTGATGTTAAGTGCCGTCAAGTTGGTTCTGACTCATAGCAACTCTGTATCGGGATACTGAATACCACAGTGGAAGGAGGATAGGCTTTAAGTTCAGATAGACATGCATTCCAACTCTGCTAATTCACTCACAAGCTGTGCTACACAGGTCTCTTAGGTACCATTTTCCTCATCTATAAATGTGTCAACATCTCATAAAGCATGTAGTGCAAATTAGAGTGTTTGTAAAATGCTGACTTTTTAATGAAAGGAAAATATGAGTCAGTAGGTATAAAATAAAAATGTAAATTACCAATCAAACATGGTAAAATTTAAAAACATCTATAGATGCACACATACTCACAAAGACCATTTGATTTGGTTTGTTTCTACTTAGAGCCAATGTCTGTAATACAGGCAAGGTAGTGATGTGCCATGGAGTCAGTAGTGACCCATAGCAACCCTGGATAGGTTTCTGAGGATGTAAATGTTTATGGGAGCAGAAAGCCTATCTTCCATAATTTCTGCTTGCCATGTATGACACTTGTTGAATTTTTTAAAATTTATTACGTTACATATTCAAAGGAGAGGATTCTTGATGCTACTAGCATACTCCAATGACATGCCTTCACAATCAGTTAGGAAACAAAAAAAGTGAGACATAAGGAGTCCACAACCAACAGTTTGGAAATAGTAAGTCTTTGGGATAATGAATGACATTTCACTTAGAGTAAACAAATATAGATTAGACTCCCAATCAAGACTTAGTACAAAAATTTTACTGTGTTTTAAAAACTGGTCAAAGTAAAATACAGAAATGCATAGTATTTATATAAGACATTCATGACATTAAGGAATCATCAATTTCAGATTATTAGGCTAAAATAGACCTTCTGAGAATAAACCAAAGGTGGTTTGTGAACATAACACAAAGTTATACTTAATACAGCTACTTCACAGTGACTTTTAATGTTTTTGACAAATAAAACCCATGTGACAGGATTTGAACAGAAAGTTCACCGGAACAACAAAGTAAATCTCCAAAAGTTACTCTGTTAGCTCATAATCTTTGGACATAAAGTTAGCTCTACCCAACACCCAGGAGATCAAAGACCATGAAAAGCAAACCTCAAATATCGTTGCTCCTGTGAATCGACTTAAAGCAGCAAACTCAAGGATCAAGGTACCTGCACATGCTGTACAGGTATCTGTCTCAGTTCCTGTCCGAGCTTCTGGTTTTCGGATCCCAAACTTCAAATTAATCTAAACAAAATTAGAAGATTATTATTTACAATTACCAAGCGATAAAAACATCTTAATTTTAAAAATGACTTTTTAATCAAGACATTTTTATCAAATCGTGAAAGTAATTCATAGCATCTAACAACAGGAGCCATATGCTTCCTAATAGCCTGGCCACACCCCTCTGCTCCCATTCAAATTCCTAATTGCCTCTACTGGTTGCACTTCTGGAAGAGTGATTTGTTTTAAGTAGTTTGTTACTATGAACAATATTGAAACTATCTTGTCCCCTTATGTTACCTAAGTCCCTTAACAACAAAACTTAAATTGAAACCTAATGCTAAGAATAATGAACTTTTAAGAAAAGGAAAAAAAGTGTAATCCGCTACAATTTGATGAACTTGACCTATACTTAAGGAGACAGTAGCTTAAATGAGGGAAGGAATCTTCACAGCAATGATCATTCCCACCCCCTCTGTACACAGGGTCGACAGGGATGGGTAACTTAGACACTGGCTACCTAAAAGGAGGGGCTATAAAGGCACGAAGTGACAGGCTTACAAGTTTTCAAGAGGGAGTTTAGTTT